TGAGAAACTGGTCTCCTCTGTCCCCAGACGTCTGTTGAGTGTTGTAAGAAGAAGGGGGGATGCCACACAGTGGGAAAAATGGACTTGTCCCAACTTTTTTGGGATTTGTTGATGCCATGAAATTTGGAAACAACAGATTTTTCCCTTAAAATGATACATTCTCTCAGTTTAAACTTTTGATCTGTGATTTGTTCTATTCTGAATAAAATATTAGATGTTGGCACCTCCATCCACATCATTGCATTCAGTTTTTAATCACTATTTGTTTAGTGTTCCAACTTTTTTGGAATCCAGTTTGTAATAATATAAAATATATATATGTGTGTGTGTGTGTGTGTGTGTATGTATTTTTGAATAAGATGGAGCCAGGTTGTTGAGAGCTTTATAGGTTAGAAGTAAGATTTTCAATTCTGTTCTGGATTTGACAGGGATCCAATGGAGAGGAACTAAAACTGGAGAAATATGATCTCTCCTACTAACTCCGGTTAAGACTCTGGCAGCAGCATTTTGGATCAACTGAAGATGTTTTAAAGAAGTATTTGGACACCCAGATAATAAACCATTGCAATAGTCTAGTTTAGACGTGACAAATGCATGGACCAGTTTTCCTGCATCATTTTTAGTTCAGATGTTTCTAATGTTAGTGATATTACGCAGGTGGAAGAAGGTGGTTCTAGTAACATTTTTAATGTGGGGGATAAAAGACATGTCCTGATCAAAAATAACACCAAGATTTTAAACATTAGAGCTGGAGGACAGATTAATGCATCTAAGGAGGGAGAAAGACTGAAACATTCATTCCTAAGGTGCTCAGGTCCAAAAACCAAAACCTCAGTCTTGTCTGTTCAACAGGAGAAAATTAAGGGTCATCCAGGTTTTTATGTCTTTAAGACATGCTTGTAGTCTAAGTAGCTGATTGGATTCATTGAGTTTAATGGACAAATATAATTGTGTGTCATCAGCATAACAATGAAAAATTATCCCATGCTGTTTAATAACTTTACCTAATGGAAGCATATATAAAGTAAAGAGTATTGGTCCAAGCACTGAGCCCTGAGGAACTCCATGACTAACTTTGCTGTATGAAGAAGATATATTATTTACATTTATAAACTGGAATCTATCAGATAGATATGATTTAAACCATTTTAGAGCTGTCCCTGTAATCCCAACATCATATTCAAGCCTCTGTAGTAAAATATTGTGATCAACTGTATCAAATGCAGCACTGAGGTCTAACAGGACCAGTAGAGACACAAGTCTATTGTCTGAGGCCATGAGAATATCATTAATGACTTTTACTAGTGCTGTTTCTGTGCTATGATGAGCTCTAAACTCTGACTGAAACTCTTCAAACAGATTATTTCTTTTGTAGATGAACATATGCTGTCATATATTCATAGATAAAACGGATTCTTTCATTTTTCTGGACTGTATAATGACGTGCATCTGGATTTAATAAAATGTGGACGTGAGACGTTAATTATCTTTGACTCACCAACGACAGTGGGTCATTTATTAACAGAATCAAGTTTAACACATCACACATTTACATTAATTGGCAAGAATTGAAAATAACAACAGCTTATTAATCAGTTTTACAGGAAGTAAACAATACAGCGATTGTTCTCACTTCCAGTAGTACAACAAACGTCAACCACACGGCGGTGATTGAAAAACTTTGCTTCAGACATTTCTAAAAATATCTGTAATGATTTTTAGCAGATAGAAGAATTTTAAAGATGGAAAGATGAAGTTTATCTTGAGAGAGATGTGTGAGGGAATTTGTCTGTTTTAACCAGAACAGCACGCTCCTTTGGACCAGCTTGTCCCAACGGTACACTTTGGTTGAAGATCGACTTTTTACCTTTCTGAAGATATGTCAGTTCCGGCGTAAAATTCCACTTCGAGCCACTTTTCAGCGTCTCCATAAGAACAGCTAAACCTCGGGAGTCGTGAGATCATCCAGAACCGACTTCATAATTCTTCTGAACTTCTCTCGTCCAGCATAGTGGCAGATGTACTGAGCATGCTGCATTCCAGCATTCTGCATTCTGGAACTGCCGAGTTCCTGCAGAACTTCTTCATCTACAGCAACTCTTCTCTAACTGCAACTTTAAACTTAAAAAACTTCGGTTGAACTAGAAAGTACCAACATTTAAAGAAAGCTCACTTCCGGTTCATTTGAGAACTTTCTGATTGGTCGATTGACCAAAACAGAGGTGTGTTTTGTGATGTAAGGTGTTATGAAAAGTCAAGGAAAAAGATTAAGATTGTTTAAGAACAGACAGAAGATTGTTATGAAGAATTCAGACTCCGTGGAGTCAATTCTCTAGTATCTTGCTGTAAAAGTTAAACATGACATTTCTTTTTCAGTAAACTTGCAGTTGACCGAAACTTGAACTTTGACCAACTTACACAACTTGCTCATTTCAAACAGACGATCAAGAAATTGAATCATTACTCTGTAACATATTCCAACTTGATTTCACTTTGAATGAGGATTAAGAATCATTATTACTGTTTCACAGTTAATAAAAATGAGTAGTTCACTTCAACATTTAAACATTGTTTGAACTAACACAATTTGATTATCAAACATTTGTAAAATAGTAATGATAATCGAAAGTAATCTTCTTTCACTTGATTAATTTAAGAAAGAAAGTCTCAGGATGGGTCAACCTGTATTTCTGGATGCAAACCAATGAAATGACAAGTTCTGTCCCATAAGGTGCCTAAGGTCAAGGTTTTGACATCAGGCCTAGTTCACTACACTTTGTAGATGTTCACGTGACTGACCTGCAACTATTTTCTCTAGAATTTTTGAGATGAAAGTTAGATTAGATATAGGTCTATAGTTGGACAGAATTTCTGAATCAAGGTCAGACTTCTTAAGTAAAGGTTTAATTACAGCAACCTTAAAGCTCTGTGGTACATAACCATCCATTAAAGACAAATTAAGTAGATCAAAATGTGGACATTAATTAGTGGAAATATCTCTTTAAACAGTCTGGTTGGGATGGGATCTAGCAGGCATGTGGATGGTGTGGATGAGGTTATTATTTTTGACAATTCAGAGCTCAACAGGACAAAAACTTTCCAAACATAAATCAGGCTCTAGTGAAATTTTTAAAGTTGCCTCATTTGACAGGGGACTAGAGATAGTAGAAGGAAGGATGGTTTGAATTTTCTCTCTAATTGAAATAATTTTATTTATAAAGAATCTCATGAAGTCATTACTACTTATAGTTGTAGGGATACATGGTTCAACAGAAATGGGACTTTTAATTAGTCTAACAATAGTACTAAACAGAAACCTAGGGTTATTTTTATTCTCCTCTATTAAATATGAGTAATATAAAGTTCTAGCTTTACGGAGAGCTTTTTTATATGTTAGCAGACTATCTTTCCAAGTTAAATAAAATTCTTCAACATTAGTGGAGCTCCATTTTCTCTCCTGGTTTCTAGATGCTGCTTTAAAGTACGTAACTCAGAATTGAACCAAGGAGCCAGTTTCCTCTGATGGATTACTTTCTTTTTCAGTGGAGCAATTTTATCAAGTGAAGTTTGCATTGAAGTTGTAAGATGATCAACTAGATGATCTAAGTCTCTGTTCTCTGATGCATTACTCTGCAAGACAGAGGAAACATTGATGGAAGAGATTGTTTAAATTTGGTTACAGCATTTTCTGATAAGCACCTGCTGAGATGAAATTTACTCTCAGTGACTGTGTAGTCATTTAATGTAAACTCAAAGGTTATTAAAAAATGGTCGGACAGAACAGGGTTTTGAGGAACTATTACCAAGTCCTTAATCTCTACACCATAGGTCAGAACTAAATCAAGAGTGTGATGATAAGAATGAGTAGATGTGCGGACGTTTTGGGTAAAACCAAATGAGTCTATTAAATTATTAGAGGCTATGTTTAAACTATCACTCTCAACATCTACATGAATATTGAAATCACCCATTATGATGATTTTATCAGTATTTAATAATAAGTCAGTTAATAATTCTGAGAATTCAGACAAAAACTGAGAGTAAGCTCCTGGTGGACGATATATAACAACTAGTAAAAGTGGCTTTTCTGATTTCCATTTTGGATGAGAAAGACTGAGGGACAGGGATTCAAAAGAATCATAACTAATAACTGATTTGGCATTAATCAATAATCCTGACTGAAAAATAGAAGCTACTCCTCCACCTCGGCCAGTTGTTCTAGGAACATGAAAATTTTAATAATTAACAGGAGTGGATTCATTTATACCAACAAAATCCTCCTGTTGTAGCCAAGTTTCTGTCAGACACAATAAATCAATATGATGATCAGTTATCAGTTTATTAACCATTCATTTATCAAGCAACTACATCTCCATGTGGGATTTTCAAGCGTTTTCCTGGCCAAAATCACCCTTTCTGACGTAATAACAGGGAGATTATTAGACCAAGGCGAATGTCTCTCAGACTGCATCACTTGAATTTTTCTCCTTACGTTTGTGATAGATGGGACCAGTGTGAACTTGATGATGTTAGTTTGATTCTACTGCATGTAAAGATTTGAACAAGGGGTCATTTGTGCAATTTGGTCAATCCAAATCAGAGTTGTAGCCCTGTGCAAAAATTGTTTTTTGGAAACCAGGATGTAGCCTGTTTGTTTCCATCCACCTATTTTTGTTTGTTTCCTTCTTTTGGTGGTTTGATCACAGTCGCTTAAAGATCCTCTTGAGAGAACCTGAACATTTCTCAGTTGAAGAGTCCAAATGAAGGCTGAACGCAGCCTTGGGTCAGCATCAATTGTGGTTACTGGCAGTATTATTTTGAATTCCATAACTTTAATTTCCAACTTAAAGAAGATCAGCTGACTGCTTCTGGTAGAATATTTTTTTTCCTGCCTCTGGCACATTCATTTTTGTTTTTCTGGTTTCAACTAGTTATTTTTTGTATCTTTTCTTTATTCTTCTTCTAATTGTTTGTGTCTGGTCATTTTTGTGCTCAATCAGGGTTTTTTGCCATCGTGGTTAGTGCTGTAGGGGTGGCAGCAGGAGTATATCTAGGTGTAGACCTCACCTACATCCACAGCAACTTCCTGCAGCTAGCCACAGCCTCCTTCCTCATCTCCATGTTGCTCAGCATCTACCTGTTTGTCCGCTCTCGCTCTGCCAGCCCTGAGCAGCTGGCTCTGGGTGGAAGCTCAGGTACGTGGAGTTCACCGCAGTTATCTGAGCCAGATACTTTATGCTTCCTGCTGTAAATGTTTTTTTATCTCTCTCTCCAGGTAATGTGGCGTATGACTTTTTCAAAGGACGTGAGCTTAATCCCCGCATCAAGAACTTTGATCTGAAATTTTTCTGTGAAATGCGCCCTGGACTTATTGGCTGGGTGAGTCTGTTTAGTAAGCAGTTTGTGATGAAAACTCATGTCATGACGTTGAAGAAAACTTCTTGTCAAAATAAATGCACTCAGTTTAAATTACAGTAAAATGCACCTGTGTACACACCCGGTTCCTGGATTTTCTCTAGTGCCCCCTGGTGTTTTTTTATAGTCTTTCATCTTAAAGTGAATGAACACCAAATGTCTGCTTACAGCTGAAACATTTACTCAGAATTTGAGCGTAGAATTTGTAGCATTAAAAAGCATCTTTGGAACATCTCTGTTCTTTTTTTAGATTTGAAGTCTCCGTTAAATGACCACCCAAGTGCAGTTTACTGTTGCATGTTTATAACGTTAAACCAAGAAAATGTTTTTCTATAGTAGGGTGCATGATAATTTAATATTTTGTATAATTTTTGAGCATAGTCAAACTCTAGAATACCATAAAGCAGGGGTGTCCAATCCTGGTCCTTGAGGACCACTGTCCTGCATGTTTTACCTTTCCTTGCTCTATCACACCTGATCCAATGGTTAAATTACCTCTTCATGTTCTGCAGCAGCCTGTTAGTCCCCCATTGATTCAAATGAGGTGTCTTGGAGCAGAGGCACCTCTAAAACATGCAGGATCAATCAATCAACCTTTATTTGTACAGGTAAATCCCATATCCCCAGGATAGTGGCCCTCAAGGACCAGGACTGGACCCCCAAGCCGTAAAGAATGTTAACCAAACTAAAAATGTGTCAGTGGCTCAGTGAAAAAGTCTAGCAGTTATTTAGTTTGTAAAATGGTTTTGTTAATGTCAAAGGGGATCTCTGCAGCTGCTGGTACAGAGCACTGATCGTGTTGAACTTCATGTGGGTTTGATTCTCCAGTGTTTGGTGAACTTTGCCATGGCTCTGGCTGAGATGAAGCAGCAGCGTCTGGATGCTCCATCATGTTCCATGATCCTCGTGAACCTCTTCCAGTTGCTGTATGTGGTGGATGGCCTGTGGAATGAGGTACCCTCATCAGAGCACCATTAAACTTACTGCAACATCAATATTTTCTTGTGAAGCATACACAGACATATTAGTAAAGGAAGCCAGATAAACAGCCTGGTGTTGTCAGTTCAGTGATTTCTCTTTGTGTGTGTTTCTTCCAGGAGGCCATCCTCACCACCATGGATTTGATGCATGATGGTTTTGGCTTCATGCTGGCTTTTGGTGATCTGGTGTGGGTTCCCTTCACTTACACCTTGCAGGCTTATTACCTGGTGGGTCACCCAAACCCTCTGAGCCTCCCCATCCTCTCAGCCATCGTCCTTCTCAAACGTGAGCAGAAACTCAGCTTCTGAACTTACTGATCATCTAAATCCTGTCCTGTGTATATGTGTGTGTGTGTGTGTGTGTGTGGTGTGTGTGTGTGTGTGTGTACACACATATATATATACACACACACACATATATATATATATATGTGTGTGTGTGTATATATGCACACACATATATATATACACACACACATATATATATATATGTGTGTGTGTGTGTGTATATATGTGTGTGTGTATATATACACACACATATATATATATGTGTGTGTATATATACACACACACACACACATATATATATACACACACATATATATATATATGTGTGTGTGTATATATATGTGTGTGTATATATATGTGTGTGTATATATATATATATATATATATACATACATATAATTTTATTTATTTATTTCATTTACCCTTTATTTATACAGGTAGTCTCACGAGCCACGAGAACTCATTTTCAAGAAAGACCTGTTAGGGAGCAGATGGGGGTTAAGGGCGTTGCTCATGGGCCCAGAGTGGGGCGAATAAGGGTGGGGGCAGGTATGGGTGCTTCACCTACCTCACCCACATTTTTTGATGTTGTCGGTACCGGGGCTTGACCCGGTGATCTTCTGATCACAGGCCCACCTTCTCTAACCTCTGTGCCACCACTCCCCCATATTTCCATTTTGGGTCACGGGGGTCGCCGGTGCCCACGTCCAGCAATCACTGTGCGAGGGGCGGGGTACACCCTGGACAGGTCTACAGTCCATCACAGGGACACATAGAGACAAACGAGTTAAACAACCATTCACTCTCTCACTCACACCTAGGGACAATTTAGAGTTACCAATCAGCCTAACATGCATGTTTTTGGTCTGTGGGAGTTCTAGATTTGCGCCGCTCGGCGTGGCTGCATGTTGGAGCAGCTCTGTTACATTCATTCTGAGTTATTGCTTTTGAAAACTTTAGTTCCTCTTTTTTCTGAATGTAAATCGCTTTTTCAGTTGATTATTTCCTCTGATATCGGATGCTGTGCAGCTGGAAGGATTTTTACTGAAACCTTCTTACTTTTGGGCATTGTGTAACCATGGCAACAAGGTGTTTTTTTAACAACCAGGAGCAGCTGATTAACATCTCACAAGCTCAAATACCACAGCTAAAGCAGCAAATCTCAAATGAGTTGAAAAGGAGGAGCTGTGGACAAATTCCCATAAACCTGGTGGTGGTGCTCCAGTAACCTGACCGCCAAAATCCTGGAGCTGGTGGGAAACTTGCTGAAACTGGCTTGTGACAACGAGAGGACTGAAATCATCCCCTGGTACCTTGAGCAGTCTGTCCGTGTCGACAAGGAGCTCAGCAGACTGCTAGGAGGAGTGACCATCGCTCATGGAGGAATTCTGCCCAGCATTTGGGCAGTCCTGCTGCCCAGGAGGACCGAGAGGCCTGCCGGATCTGATGGGAAGCTGGATCCGGGTGGACGAATTGGTATCTGTTGCCAATTCTTCAGCTTCACTACAGGAGCTCCTTCCTGCCCACAGCTATCGGCATCTATAACAACTCTTGAATGAAAACAAGATGAGCTATGACAACACTTAATTTCCCTTTGGGATTAATAAAGTATTTTTGAATTTGAATTGAATTTGAAACCGGAGTACCCGGAGAAAACCCACGCATGCACAGTGAGAACATGCAAACTCCACCTAGAAAGGCCCCCGGACCGGGATTTAAACCAGGGACCTGCTCGCTGAGAGGCAGCAGCTCTACCAGTTGCGCCACCGTGCAGCCCATTTATATATATATATATATATATATTTATTATTATTATTATTATTATTATTGTTGTTATTATTGTTATTATTATTATTATTGTTATTATTGTTATTATTGTTATTATTGTTATTTTACTTAATTATAAGCTTCTCAGATTTTAAATATTCCCTAAAGTGTAAAATGAAGATTTAAATAAAGTTTTTTATACATTTATTTTATGGCTGTATTTATTTTTTATTTTTTAAAAACAAGGGATTTGCTCGCGCTGCTGACCTCAACTCGGGATGTCGTGGGTCGGTGGGCAGAATACTTTGAAGACCTCCTCAATCCCACCGGCATGTCTTCCACTGAGGAAGTGGAGCCTGGGGACTCTGGGTCGGGCCCTCCAATCTCTGGTGCTGAGGTCACCGAGGTGGTTAAAAAGCTCCTCTGTGGCAGGGCCCCAGGGGTGGATGAGATACGCCCAGAGTTCCTTAAGGCTCTGGATATTGTAGGGTTGTGTTGGCTTATGCGACTCTGCAATATTGCGTGGACATCGGGGGAAGTTCCCCATGATTGGCAGACCATGGTGGTGGTCCCCCTATTCAAAAAGGGGGACCGTAGATTGTGTTCCAACTACAGGGGAATCATGCTCTTAAGCCTCCCTTGTAAGGTCAATTCAGGGGTTCTGGAGAGGAGGTCCATCGGAGAGTCGAACCTCGGATTCAGGAGGAGCAGTGTGGTTTTCATCCTGGCTGTGGAACACTGGACCAGCTCTACACTCTCAGCAGGGTCCTGGAGGGTGCGTGGGAGTTTGCCCAACCAGTCTACATGTGCTTTGTGGACTTGGAGAAGGCGTTCGACCGCGTCCCTCGGGGGGCCCTGTGGGGGGTACTCTGGGAGTATGGGGTACCAGGCCCTTTGATACGGGCTGTTAGGTCCCTGTATGACCGGTGTCAGAGCCTGGTCCACATCGCCGGCAGTAAGTCGGGCTTGTTCCCAGTAAGAGTTGGACTCCGCCAAGGTTGCCCTTTGTCACCGATTCTGTTCATAACGTTTATGGACAGAATTTCTAGGCGCAGCCGAGGTGTTGAGGGGATCCATTTTGGTGGCCTTAGGATTGCGTCTCTGCTTTTTGCAGATGATGTGGTCTTATTGGCTTCATCAGATCGTGATCTACAGATTTCGCTGGAGCGGTTTGCAGCCGAATGCGACATGGCCGGGATGAAGATCAGTTCCTCGAAATCCGAGGCCATGGTCTTGAGCCGGAAAAGGGTAGAGTGCCCTCTCCGGATCAGGGAGGAAGTCCTGCCCCAAGTGGAGGAGTTCAAGTATCTTGGGGTCTTGTTCACGAATGAGGGAAAAATGGAGCGTGAGATCGATAGGCGGATAGGTGCAGCGTCTTCAGTGAAGTGGGCACTGTATCGATCTGTCGTAGTGAAGAGAGAGCTGAGTCAAAAGGCGAAGCTCTCAATTTACTGATCAATCTACGTTCCTACCCTCATCTATGGTCACGAGCTTTGGGTTGTGACCGAAAGAATGAGATCTCGGATACAAGCGGCCGAAATGAGTTTTCTCCGCAGGGTGTCTGGGCTCTCCCTTAGAGACAGGGTGAGAAGCTCGATCATCCGGGAGGGACTCGGAGTAGAGCCGCTGCTTCTCCACATCGAGAGGAGCCAGTTGAGGTAGCTTGGGCATCTGTTTAGGATGCCTTCTGGACGCCTCCCTGGTGAGGTGTTCCGGACACGTCCCACCGGAAGGAGGCCCAGAGGAAGACCCAGGACACGCTGGAGGGACTATGTTTCTCGGCTGGCCTGGGAACACCTCGAGATTCCCCCGGAGGAGCTGGCCCAAGTGGCTGGGGAGAGGGAAGTCTGGGTCTCCCTACTTAGGCTGCTACCCCCGTGACCCAACCCTGGATAAGCGTAAGAAAATGGATGGATGGATGGGATTTGCTTGTTCTGCACATAATTTCTGATCTGCTCAACATAATTTAACAAAACTTCATACACATATAAATCATTATTAGAGGGAGTGTTGCATACACTTTATTACCCCAGCATCAAGGTCAAATGTTTTACAGGTCTTTGCTTGTCTGGGCCATTGCTATGGGTTGCTGTATACTAATTTGTCAGTGGGTATATAATGTGCCGTATGTGGTACTCATGTTCATGTTTGACTGATAAATTGTCCTCTCTATTTCTGTGTAGTAATTGGATTCTACATATTCAGAAAGTCTAACTCTGAGAAAAATGCCTTCAGGAGAAACCCATCAGACCCTAAACTGTCCCGTAAGTTCCTCTGAACTCATAATCAGACTCTACTGATCAAATAATTAATTGAATTAATTAAACATCAAGTTGTAGAAAGAGTGTCTTCATGAAATGGTAAAATCCTATTGGTGTTCTCTCCAGATCTGAAAACCATCCCTACAGCTACAGGGAAGAGTCTATTAGTCTCAGGCTGGTGGGGTGTGGTCCGCCACCCCAACTATCTGGGAGACCTCATCATGGCTCTGGCCTGGTCCCTACCATGTGGTAAGTTCATGTGATCTTTGTGTTAGATGTTCTATGAAGCTCTAGGGGTCCAAGATAAGTAGAGTCAGTTGAACACTTGAGCTGCATCTGTTGTGTTCCAGTAACCAAATATACATTAGCTCATTCTGCACAAGTGATATCAGTAAATATGTCTTTAGTTTTTCTCTCACATCCTGTTTTTAGGTTTATTTTAGCTACAGTGCAATTGGATTGTTGAAAAGGTGTGACAGCTACAGACTAATACAATGGCTTTCAAACATTTCAAATCATGACACCTTTCGAAGAAGAAGAAAAAAATTGTATTAAAAACTGAAATTGGGGGTTTAAAAATCAGAAGTATAATCAATTTTGTGCAATACAGACGCACTAGCTGGTAGCGCTCCGTTTCCCTCACATTGATCTGTGTTACAAACCGCGGACAACACAGCCGTGTCTCCTTCCCCACCCCCAACAAAAATCATGGAAGGTGTGAGTGCTCTGCCAAGGCAAATAAACTATGGGAAACACTGAAAACCCAAACACGCTAAATATCACAAATCTCTCAAACCTCATGACTCCCTCTCTCGTTGTGACTTTATCACACTGAACTCCATTCAGCTTTCGCGTCTTTTTCTTCCTCTTCCTGTAGATTTTTTGTCGCTTGACAAATAACTTCAAGCCTACATCAAGGGGGGAGGTTGTTAATCTGTTCGGCGGGGGTGGAGGGTGATGGGGGTGTTTTGTCGCTAACACTCCCCGTCTTTGCTGCTGCCTCTCGCTAAAATGCGCTTCAGATATGACAATGATTTTCAGAAAAAGATGTGGCGTGGATTATTTATCATAACTCTGGTTCTACTTGGCCTATCAACAAGATTTAAAAACTGGTGTGTAGATAAATGGCTGTACTTTTTGACAAATTAAAATGGAGTCGCTGAGATGCTGTGTCTTTCGTGAAACAGTCGTGTGACTATCAAGCGCCGGTGTGTCAATTGACTCCAAAGAAAGAAGAAAAAAAATTAGAGTAGGCGGCAGGGGCGGATTGGCCATCGGGAGCGCTGGGACTTTTCCCGGTGGCCTGCCCCGGTCAGTGCCCGCCAAGGGACTGGACTAAAGGCTCAATTCGAGTCACGCTTTATTATTTTAAATAAACAAGCCGGCCGCTCTTGCGTGGGACTCACAGGTGTTACTGAAGCTCCCCCTCCCTTCCCTCTCTGAGGCTGTGTCTGTCTCAGAGTGAAGCTGACAGCCCACCCACGTGAAAAATTCCAGCAAATAGAATGAACGGTTAGTGCTTCCTTCACGCAGAGACACACACAGTTATGTGCCATCCTTGTGGACTTGCGTTCCTGACGTTTATGTGTTTGATCTCTGGGTCAGAATGGATTGAGAGAGATAGCCCAAAAAGAGGAAAGGTGGAGCAGAGAGAGAGAGAGAGAGAGAGAGAGAGAGAGAGAGAGAGAGGATGAAAAAGAGAAAAGCACTGATGCAGCAAAGTGCAGTAAATTAATGTTTGTTCGTAAGGTGCAGGTAAGACAAACACTTGTGGTGACAAGTAGGGCTGCAACTAACGATTATTTCAATAATTGATTCATAGGTCGATTATTTTTTTAGATTAATCGATGAATCGAGGGAAAAAAAATAAAGTTTTAATTTCCACCCCTTTATTCCAAAATTGAACATTTGACTGACATAGCAATTCACACAAAAAACAGGTTGCTATTTGACTATTAGCTTTAAAAATGTACACAAAATTATATACAAATGTATGCTTTATACCTGCATAATATGTAGCTACTTTGTAAAATGTGTCCTTGAGGGAAGAGTGTAACCTGGATTAAAAGTGTGGATTATTGTAACCTGGTAAATCACATTTTTTGGATGATTGTTTCCTCTGGTATCTGATGCTGTGCAGCTGGAAGGATTTTTACTGAAACTTTTTTAGTTTTGGACATTTGTTATGATGCATAACCATGGCAACAAGGCAGTTTTCTACAACCAACAGCAACTGAACATGTGGCATGGAGGCTGCACAGCTGCAGAAAGAAAAGCTTTGCAGAGAGTGGTGAAGGCTGCACAGAAATCTGTTGGAATCAGTCTCCCCACCATCACAGACATCTACACCTCCAGATCCAGGAAGAGGACCACCTGCATCATGAAGGACCCCACTCACCCAGCACACACACTTTTTGCCCCACTCCCCTCAAGAAGGAGGTTGAGGAGCATTAAATGTAGAACCACTAGACTGAGGAACACCTTCTACCCTGAGGCTGTTAGACTCATGAATCTCTAACCAGAAGAATCACTGTGAAAAGAATAACATCATGTTGCTGCTGATCTGTTTCATGCTGCTGCTGATCTGTTTCATGTCACTGCTGATCTGTTTCATGTTGATGTGTTCATGCGTGCACATCTGCTCACAGACTCATGTTCATGTTTGTGCTGATGTTCAATGTTTTATGTTATGAGTGCTTAGTGTATATTTAGTTGATGTTTTTCTTAGTTCATATCTTAGATGTTATTACTGTTTTTCTTAGACATTTTATTGTTGGATGTAACTGGGACCCTGTGTACATAATTTCGCTCCACCACATGTACCACATGAGGTGCGAATGACAATAAAGAAACTCTGACTCTTACTGACTCTGATTAACATCTCAAAAGATCAAGTAATATCTCAACTACAGCCCCAAATCTCAAGTGAGTTGAAAAGGATGTTCTGTGGACACATTCTCATCTACCTGCCAGCTGTGCTCGAGTGCCTGACCACTGAGATTCTGGAGCTGGCGGGGGGCACGGCTCATGACAACGGAAGGACAGGATCGTCCCTCGGCACCTACAGTTGGTTGTCCGTAGCGACGAGGAGCTGGGAGGAGTGGCCATCGTTCTGGGAGGAGTTCTGCCCGGCATACATGTGGTTCTACAGCCCGGGGGAACCAAGAGGCCAGCCGAGTCTGGATGGACGGATCGGATGGCATCTGCAGCCAGTTTCTTAGGATCCACTGTGGGATGTACCTTTACAAGTGATCCTTCCTGCCTACAGCCATCAGTGTCTGTAACATCTCTTAATGAAATGAGGATAATGAGTTACAACAACAAATAATTTCCCTTTGGGATTAATAAAGTATTTTTGAATTGAATTAAAAATGTGGATCATTGTAGTGAAGCCTTCGTCTTCAACCATGGACAGAGGCCTCATGTCAGTGACGATCATGTTCAGGATGTTTCAGTGAAGACAGCTGCTGCTGTGGTGTCCATGATGTCTGTCCATCATGAAGGATGTTGTTGTTTGTTGTTGTTTTCTGGAATGAGACAGTAAATATGTTTTATAGTATAATTTACAGCAACTCAAGAAACGCCTTGTTTCACTTACAGTGTTAGGTTCAGGCAAAAGTAGCTAAAAGAGCAATTAAACACACACACACACATATTTATAAAATACTTAATTACACACTTGAGTAGATGTAATAAATGACTTTAATTCCTGTTTAAATGCAATTCATCCTGCCATACCTGCAGTG